GGTTTACCAAATCAGCGTCTCTACCTAATAGATACACGCACACACACACAACATAGAGAGATGTTATCTGGATACAAGTTCCTTGAATAAGAGAGAGAAAAACATAAAACACACCAGTGGCTTCCCTTGCTTTAAAATAAATATGAAAATCTTTAACATGGCCAACAAGTTTCAGAATCTTGAGCCCTAACCTAGTGATATGCACACAAATATTTAACATCGGCCTTGGAATCAGGAAGTGGGAAGCAAATGCTCAAGCCCTGATTTGTACCATTTTCTGACTTTCGTGCCATATAGACACCCATGATGGCCAATGAAGCCACCAAAATAATGTCAGTGAGTTTATAAAATTCCTGAGCATTTAACAGTTTGCTCTTGCAAGCCAATAATGAGGTACAAAGCCCAACAAACTATTGCCTTGACAAATTTTCATCGTATTTTATTTTAATAAAAATATTTACAGTCACCTCATGACCTCATACTATACTCCCCAGTCTCACTTCTTTTTGAGCCCACACCACATCCTTTAACCTCAGCATCCTCAGTACCAAAACCAACTGAACTTCTAAAGTTCTGATCAGCAGCTCAGGAAAAGAAACACAATAGTACACTCCTGGAATCCTGCCTCTTTTCCTAGGCAACCAGAAGCCTCCTATAGGTCACAGAAATTTAAAGTTATATCCCATTAGTCCCATGACATGGCCAGTATATGTGATTTCAGGCAAGTTATTTTCTACCTGTGCATCTCAGTCCTGAAGGAAAGAGTATGCCTCTTCTATGCTTTGCTGTCAAGATTAAATGAAACATATTCCTGGTGTAAAGTAAGTGCTCAAGATATTTTCATTACTTGTTTCAATTCATTATGAAATATTTCTATACTTACAAGGTGTGATCAAAACATACAGCAAATATTTAAATTTTTAAAATTTATTACAGTAAAAGATGCATTGTTCTTAATCCCCCTCAAAATCCCCCATCTCCCTTCAAATACACTTATTCATCATTCTTGCCATTTTCTGAAGTAGTTCCAGAAGCTCCCTCTCCTGACTGACTTTCACTGCACTGTCATGGCTACCTTGATATTCTAAATCACTTCAAAGTGTTTACCTTTCATTGTCATTTTGGCTTTGGGGAAGAACCAGAAGTCACATGGTACCAGATCCAATGAATAAAATGGATAAAGATACATGATAATGCTTTTATTTAAAGGAATTGCCAAAAATGTTTAATCAATAAGGGGTGATCACAAAATATTGTGAATATTTAAATAAAACTATTTATTTTAATAAAAGACACATTGCCGACCATCCCCTTCAACATGCTTCCCCTGACTTTGAACACATGTGTCCCATCACTCTTGGCAATATGTCCCTTATGTAATAGGGTCTCTTTTTTAATTTAAAAATTTTACTATATTTTTAGATCATCTCTTATAGATTATTAGGACTAAGCCTAATAAATGGGTAAGGTCTAATCTCGAGGTTTGGAAATTTAGCATGTTTCCAATGTATAACAAACTAGTCCATTCTATTTTGCTCAGTTAAGCAAACACATACTGAGTTCTTAGTATTTGCCAGACCTAGTATTAGACCTGCACCATAAGAAATCAGATATTTAGTTTCCGCCCTCAAGAAGTTGATCGTAGAGATTACACCTAACAGATAAGATTTCACACCTTATTTTGTTGTTGTTTTGGTTTTGGTGCCAGAGACTGAATCCAGGGCCTCACACATGCTAAGCACACGCTGTGCCATTGAGTTCCTACATGCCCAGACATATCCAAAATTCTTGAAAATCTCTAAGAGAGAATTATCTCACCACATTGTCAGCAACTTTCATATTCGGTTCTCAGTTCTCTGAGGAGTGGGTGTATTTGTGTGTGTGTGTGTGTGTGTGTGTGTGTGTGTGTTTCAATACCTTGAAAATTAGTGTATCTTCATTTGCTTTTATTCTAGGCCTTAGAAGAAATCATAAATGGTTGGTCACCATTCTTCAAATATCAAGCCTTTGTGCTCTGAGAGTTATTGAGTTATTGCTCTACCTTCTCTTTCTAGATTAAATAATTTTCAATCCCTTTAACATTTTCTCAGAGGGCCTATTTGCCAACCTTCAGTTTAATCATTTTCACTGCTCCCTTCTGAAGCTAATCTAAGTCCCCTACGTTAAAATATGTTGTTTTGCCATTGAGTTCATTCTTTTAAGCAACTCACCCAATACATGGAAAAAGGCAAAAAGGAGAAGGACGGTAGATAGAAGGCTAAAGTTCCTGTGTAAGAACTCATGTAGAACACTCACATTCTCAAAGCAAATTAGCATTTACTGTCACCACCATTAAGCAGGAAGTGCTAAAACCAGAACAGTTTTTAAGTAGTATCAACCATTGCACTTGACAATTACCTAAATTACGTTTAAGTAGATAAGACTACTAACAGTAGACTTGAGACTTGCTGTAGTTTCACCTGAGATTCTCAGAAAGGCACCAATAAAATCACTTTAGGACTGAAGTTAATAAGATCGAATGAGAATTTTTGGTTCTGTAAAATACCTCTGTCAACAGCTGATGTCAACAGCTGCAAGCTTACTGTGTTATTTACAAACAACGCCTTAAGTCAGCTCCAGCACAAACAAAGGAACTATCTCTGTATTCTATTCATCAAAATAATTAATATTTCTTGGACTGAAAGTGAAACAAATTCCAAATGGCTTTTAAGAAGTGATAGATAAAGATGAATCAAATACATACTGATCATAGCATGATATCAACGTATGTAGAAATGGACAAATATGAAAACCAGAGCTCTAGTAACATATCCTTTCAAGACACACCTAGTGATTGGAAATAAATCCCTTTCTACATGCCTTTCACTTTCTAAATCCCTTCTCCTGCCTTTCACTATTATTATGCATTGAGATTAACCAGGCTTCTGGGAGCCCACAGCATATTTATATACATTCACGCACGCAAAGATTCTTCACTTAAATTTCCAATTCCTCTAAAGAAGCAGTGAAAACTCTCATTGGATCACATTCTGCCTGTTTCAGGAAATTCTTTATTCTGAAGCCATTGTGAGGGGAACAAATATTTTCTTTCCTCATCTAGGAAAATTAACTGGTGTGAAAGGTCTTGGTTTGGGGGAGGAGGTAGAGACAGGAACCAAGTACACAGGTAGTGGTCACATCTAGTTCCATTTCTGAAGCTACTATGACTCTGGAAAGATCCTATTTTGCCTAATCTCACTGATTGAGAGAGGTTTGTGAACAAGGCAAACCAGCAACATTCTGGAAAATTCTTCTAAATTTCTCTGAAGACTCTCCCAGCTCTGGGTTTAGAACAAATTCCAGGTTTGGTATTGAATTTTCCCAGAAAGGCATAGTCACAAAGGCAATTCAATCTATCAAACAATGACTTAAATCTACAGCCTTATGGAATTAATATTATATTCCTCAAATAACTAGCAATTGGGAAAGCCAAGAACTTATAAGTTCCGAAAAACAAACATCCTCCTGGGTAAAGGCAGATAGTTCCTCAGCTGTATAACCACAGAGTTGACCCAGTACATCCCTCCAGCACTTTGTGGTTCTCCATGCTCAGGCACACAGCCCAGATGTTTGCGTTACAGAGTGAAGGGATAGGAAAACCAATCCTACCAGTAAGTGCATGCACAATGGAGGCCTGAGAGCTCTAACACAATGGACATTTAGAGCCATAGCTATTAAATAGATTTGTGCTGATAAATAAACTTGGACTTAATAGTTACCATTTTTTATAAAAGTAAGCTTCCACTAATGAACAGGAATTGTAAATAGACTTTGATTTCATTTATTTTGTGGTACAGTGTTATAAATTCTCTTCATGTGGAATGGAAGTGAAAGTAGGGCACTGATACTTATACAGGCTGCCATATGATTTCGTGATGTTTATGGCATGTGGCCAGTAATACTGGATTAATAAATCACTACTAGGCACAAGTCGGTGACCCCTCTCTTTGCCCAAATATGTATGTACTTTGGACACAGTATAAAATTATTTTTAGAAACTAGCAACTTGTACTATCCTTCAACTATCCTTCCTTTGAATGTTGGAGTGTAATATTTTATTCCATTTGAATTTGGGAAATAATATCTACTAATACTGACTACTAACATCTCTACACTGGGAAGACTTAAGGAAAAAAGGACAGATTGATAGAAGATAGGTAGAAAGAGATAGAGAGAGAGAGAGAGAGAGATGATAGAAGCAGAAAGTAAATAACTTAGATTGGTGAAGTTTTTAAATATCCATCTATAATGAACAAATGACATTTGCAGTAAGGCTTTTCTTCATGTGAGATAGTGAATAAAATTCCTGCTGATTTTCAAAAACCAACTGTTTGGGTCATTCTTTTTAAAAAAAGAAATCAACAGATTAAAGGAACTCCATTTATGAAAATCAAATGAACCCCTAACAAAGCTTGTTTGGGGACATGAATAAATCATCCAGGCATGAATTATTCATTGTTATCAAGAAACAAGCTGGTGATTCCAGGAACTGGGCTCAGAGGTGCTGGATCTGGGGAATCAATGCGTTTATCTTCCCACATCCACCCTGAAAGGGAAAGGACCAACCATAGGGCCCACGATGAGATGCAGAATTTGCTAATCCTCCACTCGCATTTCAGGGTACACTCTGGCAACATTCATATCTAGGACAACAAAACAAAGTTTAATCCACAGAACCTTAACTTAATGAACTGCACATAATAAGCAGTCAATAAGATTTTAGAACACCTTCTTAAACATTCACGACATACATGAGGAATACGAGGTGTGTGCAGAAGGTAGTAGGGCTGAGAGTTTGAATTTAAAGGGGCTGGCTAGAAAGCTCCTCAATGATAAGTTTTTAGCAGAGTTGACCTACTTGCTCGTAGCTCAGGGGTGGAATTATTCTTGCGGGGGATGTGCGGGAGGAGCAGGGAGTTTCCCAGATTTAATCCACTAATCAATGCATGTGTGTGTTCCAGGTCCAAACTGCTTTGCAGGAACTACAATAATTCCGGCTGGCATTGAAGTGAAAGTGGACGAATGTAACATCTGTCACTGTCACAACGGGGACTGGTGGAAGCCCGCTCAGTGTTCAAAGCGTGAATGCCAAGGCAAGCAGACTGTGTAGGACAAATTCCCAACCAATGACAAGTTCTTAGGAGAGGATGCTATGGCTTCTACAATGCACATGTTTAACACAAAACAAAACAAAAAACAAACTCCTGCCAGCTACAACAGGGTCACCAGCAAAAACCTTTTAGGGTTGACAAAAGTGAATATTTTACTAAGAGGAAATTTCTTTTTCTCTTGCTATATAAAATATACATAGTATATAGCTATCTAAACCGCTTTTGTAATTACCAATGCTTGTTGGTGACTTGATGACTGGATTTCTGGAACAAAAGAAAGAAATAGCCTTGCACAGGCTCTTTTCCTGGTGATGCCTCTCACCTACCAGCCTACCATCCTCTGATTTACTCCATTTTCCTCTTCTGTACATCCCACGTGGCATTTGCACTTGTAGTGTTTTTGTTTTTTTTTTTTTACCTCTAGAGCATAAATGGCCAGATTTGACTGCACAGTAAATTTGAGTTGTATCAAAAAAACGTTTGGTTAAGAAACATCAGTGAAAAGGAAACTTTCTCAGCAGGGAGACACAAGAACATCCAGCCAATTGCTCCCCTAAAGTGAATTACTCCCTGTAAGCTAAGAAAAGAGGAGTGAAAACATAGATAGACCCTCTGCTGGGCTGGATCAGAACTGGCACTTTGTCTATTATGTCGGGGTTCACGATTTGACTCTAACAAACCACGCATTTCATACACAAAACCTTGAAACTGCCAAGCAAAATGAATAGGTGAAGAAAACCATGAGCTCGACTAAAGAGTCCAAAGAGCGATAGGCACTGAAAATTGTAGCATTCAACACCACACCTTTTCATGATGCTGAACTTGAGTTTGGTTTATAACTAAACATACTGTAAACCCACTCTGTCACCAGGCAATATAAATCCCAGAACCAGGGTGAGTAGCCCCACTGTGAATCTGGATTGTTTTCAATACTTCTGACTTTCGAGTTCCAATCTGATTGAAAGCCAGTAGTACACAGAGCAGTTTTTATGGTTCAGGACTGTGTTTGCCATGTTACAGTAACAACCACTCAGCCCTAAATCTAAAATCCAGATTCAGGACACTCTTTCCACCTCAAGTGCTGATTTCAATTAAAGATTAGGGTAGAGTGAATCTTGCACAATATAATTCCATTTGTTGAACATTTTTTTAAGTGTATATATTAGATATTGAACTACTAAAATGAACCTTCGAAGAGTCTCAAGGTTGCCCTGGTAATGCTGCTAGTATAGTAACAGAAAAAATAGAATAAAATACACAGGGTATTTGATGTCACCTCGACTCAAGTGCAAAATTCGCAATTCTGAGACCACATGGCCCAGTTAGTCTCTTATTTCACTCTCCTGTCCTAAAAACCCTGGTGCAGATACAATAGAGGATTCTTTAAGGTTGTCTTCACTGTCAGAGTTCTTTCTTTTTCTGCTCTCACACCAACCTGGTCTTCACCATGGCTCCTGTGGAGTGCTGTATTCTCGAGCAGGGTGTTTCAGCCTTACAGATTGGTATTTGCACCAAATCATCCATTTGTTGGGGAGGGGGGTCCTGTACACTTTTTAAGATGTGCAGTAGGAGCCTAACTTCTATCCACAGTGCCAGTAGCAATTCCCTCTGTGACAACTAAATGTCTCCAGACATTGCCAAATGTCCTCAAGGGATGGGTTGGGGTGCAGAATTTCACCTGGTTGAGAAGCACTGGTGAGAATAATCATGGGTTGGCTTCACCAGGGTTGGGCATGCTGGACAAACTCTGCCTACACTGTAGCTTTGGTGAAGCCCTGAGTGCTTCGGGCCATGCACAAACAGCAGGCCTGAAGGTCAACCTCCTCCATCAGGAGGGATGCTTCTAAGCCCACAGCTCCACCCTCAGAACACCAGTTTCTAGTCTCAAGAAACAGCTTTTCATTTAAAACGTCAACTCTCCTCCTTGGAAATGTCTCCTGTCATCAAAAAAGAGTTGTCATTTCCAAAATTAATGTGCTGATGAGCTGCACCTGACACTTTTATGCACACTGTGCTCGCGTTGTGATACACACAGCCATGCCGATGCCACCGTGAGGAAGCACATCCTGCCGCCTTCCCTCAGAACACCAATTTGCTGCAAGGTTGGTGCCTTTCGGTTGCCACCATGGATACATCACAGAGACAGTCATGAATCATTCATGAACAATTCTGCATGATTTATGCCTGCACTCCAAAGTAAAGGCATTCCACACTTCAGCTTGTGTCTAGACGGAGACGTATTATAGAGCTTTCTTTGCCCTGAGGTTGCCTGTTGCCAGCTTCAAAAATCCACACTTGGAAAGAAATAATAATAATAATCATTAATGACAGGAATAAGGTTTGAAACTCAAAAAATATTAATAGAGCCATGTAGCATAGTACCTTATCTATTATTCAGAAGTTACTGTGTCCTTTCTAGAAAACAGAAAGAAAGTGCAACTGGGAAGCTGAGGTACAGAAATTTTGCATCAAAGTCTTAGCACAGTTAAAGTCACAGCAAGAATTTCCTAGAATGGAGGATACTATCCACCCAGACACTCTCTTCAGAGAGCTGACAGGAGGGAGGTGCTCAGAGGCCTCTGTTACCAGCTAGAGAGGGAGCGTTTTATTGTTGTTCTTCTTTGGTTTGGGATTTCTTTGCTTTGTTTTTTATTTTCACTATAAGTGTTTCTTTTAAGACTTTGTTGCACTGACATTTTTCCCCCTTAGGGAGAGATGAACCTATACTGTGACAGAATTTCTCACAAACCAATCAGCATTTTACAACTTCCTTCTACCCAGGTCATTGAGAAATTCTTTCCAAACTCTGAACTACAGAGTTCTGGTTTCATCTGCTGGTTTTTCTTTTTGCTTTGAAGGCTTTGTTTGCAGCCACCGCGTCACCTCTGCATTTCCATTTCTCCTCTGCCTTTGGTTCTCCACTTTAACTACAGCTATGTTTAAACAAGGGATCAACATCCTGTTTGTCAGCTGATGCCTGTTAAAAAAAGATTCAGTTTCTAAAATCTTTGAAAAATGGTGTGCCTGAAAACTAGTGAGAAAAAAAAACCTAAACATTAAACTGTAAAAAGGGGACTCTAGCAACAATATTTGATGTGTAAAAGAATATATTATTAAAAAATTATTTTGTTAAATATAAAGTGTGTTAACCAGCGAACATTGTTTGTGGTATATTTTTCTTCCCAAATTTCTCTCTTCTCCCCACCCTCATTACTTAACGACTCACACTGGGTACTCCTACCATCTGAGAGTACAGGTATCGTTACTACCTTTAGAATGAGAATGAAGCACTAGTTTCAGGATGTGTCTGTGCACATTTTCATTTTCATGGGATAAGGCAAGGCTGGCTCAGGGGTCAGAGAAGAGCTTAGAAAACAAGCAATGAGAAGATGAATGGAAGGAAAAAAGTCTTTCCTGGCACCATGTCCGTATTCAGCACTAGTGATAACCTATAATTAGTGAGAGTTCTCACTTTGTCAGGGGCCGGGCTAAGCTTTAATCTGTAGTTCAATCCACACAGCCACCCTGCAAGGGAGTATCCCATACTGATTCTTTGCTCTGAAGAAAATCAGAACATAAAGAGGGTGGGTACTTTGCTTAAGTGCATGGGGTAGGGAGTAGCCAAGCAGAGATTTCTTATAAAAAGTTTTAATGCACCAAAGTCAAGAAAATAGTGTAAGCATCTTACATTTACTCATGGCGCAGATTCGATGGACATCAAAATCTTACCTAATACTTTATTTATTCTCTTCTTCCTTTAAGTTTTCTTTAAAACAAATATCAAGCATCATTTTATCCCTGCAACTTGTAGTAATTGTTGTTTCTAAAAAGTGACATTTTTACACAAAACTATGCTACTGTATGTCAAACCTAATGAAATCAGTAATTCCTTAGCATCATCTAATATCCAATTGATATTCAAATGTCTTAAATTCGATAAAAATAGAAGGGTTTTTGCATGATGTAAATCATCCATCCCAGGGCATCCAGTTGTTCTACCTCTTAAATTCAAAGTACAGATTTGAGCTCTGCCATCCGTAGATACGCAGTCTGACAGAATCCTGGCTTTGCTCCTATTATTGGATGATTTGTCTTAGGAATATTATTTTTTGAACACTCCATGTTATACTGCCTCCTAGAACCTGAGGCTTTTCCACCTATTGACGTGTAAGGGGTAACAAAGCCCTGGAGCCAGACCCATGTGGCCAGCGCTCAAGAGAGAGTTCTTCCTCTATGTGTGAGCTTTCCTCAGGTTTTCTTTCTCCTTTAGGCAGACTGCCTGATGCATAGTAAAACCTAGCAATATTTTGTAAATTTCCATCATTTCCTGCATTGTTAGAGGCAGAAACAACAAACCCAAACACAAAGAAACCATCAACACTGTGTCTCCAAAGACACAAATTCACACTTCTACTGCACCAACATTTTCCTAAAACAAGATTAAACATTCTGTGTTTCGATTTCCCCTGCACCCACTTCTTGACTCGCTGTGTCCATTGTAAAGGATTGTTTACAGTTTGATTCAGATTCAAGCGTCATGGAGAAGCCGCCTCAAATCACAAGAGAGAGCTCTGGATAGACGGAGCCGGGCTTTGTTGTCAGTGGAGGTTGTATGCTGGGAATATTACTCTTTAAAAGAAAAATATTTTCACGACTTTGAGAGGCAAGACAGTAGCTCTAAGTCAACAAACTCTCATGTTTCTGACTATATTCACACAGCATTTATACCTTAACTTGCAGTAACACACTTCTCAGTGAGCTTCAAACCTCCCCGCCCCGTATAAACACCAGATTCTTCCCACTCCGCATTCCACACCTGGACAACATATTGTTCTTTCCATGAACAATACCCAGCCAATGCCTCTCATCAAATAAAAGTTGAATGGGTGAAGCTGCGTTTCTTTCCTGTAATTTTAAAGACTCAAAATTTCCTTTATATTCTAAATATTTTCAATTGCAATAATGACACGATGGCTTTCTTTTTAACATTTGAAAATCTTGAACTCAGTTTTTTAATCCAACATTCTAATTTAAAAAAAAAATGCTCATATTTAAAAACTAGCTTACAGGAAGGGCACTTTTAAAATGCCATACTTTTAGAATTAAGTTCAAAATAAATAGATATGTGAGGTGAGTAGAGGAGGAATTTGGATATAAAGTTTGACTATCATTTCTTGAATTTCTTCCATCTCAGACAATGTATTGGTCCTGTTCTGTGCATAGTGATATGCATTCACTAGTTCAATCAATATCAAAACCATGAAATTATGGACTGGTTTTTCCACTTTGCAAACTGGAACACTGAGGTCCAGAGAGGTTCTGTAGCTTTTCTCCGACTCATACATTAGGAAAAGGCAGAACTAGATTTATATCAGAGTGTTGACAATATGAAACAGAATAGTGCCCACAAATTGTCTTAGGATAGAGACTCACACATAAGAAGACCCTATTATACATTGCCTGTTACTATTAGGACTGGTGTAAACAGAAGAGATATGGGTAAACTGAGATCGATTTGGATTTAGGGGCTTAGATACAAGTTGGACAGGTATTTAGGAACAGAAAACGATAATGTATTTTGCATGTGGTAGACATCAGGTGTGCTTTCAGCGTGAAGCTAGAGTTGAAAGTACACAAGGAGAGATGTGTCTGGGAAGAAAATCCAATGGTTAAGACCTGGAAAATCTTGCTAAGAAAATTCAATTAGCATTTTCCTAATACTGTGGTTTCATTGGCATCAAATAATAAGGTAGAATGGTCATATTTGTATTTCAAAAGCCATCCTGACAGCAGAGGGAAGGATGAATTGGAATCTGGAGAGAGAGGTGGGGACCCTAATGGGAGACAATTACAGCAGCCCCACCCCAGAAATAATGAGGGAATTTTCTAGTATTGGATGGTACTCAAACAGAGCAACTGGGACAAGACTACATGGAGGTCAAATGGAGATTCAAGAATCAAAACAGTCACACAGCAAGCTTAACAGATTAGGACACTGATGTCAGTAACAGCAATGAACAGTGTGGAAAGTATGCTCTTTTTGGGTACTATAAGATCTCATTTTGGCACATTGTGCTTAATATGCTAACATATAGCAGATATTTAGAATCATCTTTCATATGCTTATCTCCATGGCAGCCCACTCAGTTTCTGTTTTCCAACGTTACTTTCGTCTTGGTTTGAAGAACTACAACTTGAATAGCCAAAGTTCACCACTGGACATATATTTAGATTTTCGGAGTATTTTTGAAGTCAAAGTTGATTTCAACTTGAAGTCAAAGTTGGAAGGGGCAAGAATAACTGGATTTTTTTACTAGTTAGTAGAAATTATTAATCTCATACCAGAATTTATTTGTATGCTATAAGTTGCTTATATTCCAACACCCCTCTTTGCTCTTGCCCCTTTAGAATATAAAATGTTAGCTCTACTATTGCTCACCAGGATTCGGGAAATTTTTTAAAGACATTATTTAGCTTACCACTGCGGCCATCTCTGTTTGTTTGTTCTTCCATAGATCTTATAGGGTGAAAAAGCAAATGAGGTCTTGGGAAAAACTCAATCTGAGATTTCTAAGATGCTTAACTTTATCCCATCTTATAGATTGTATATTATTTATTATTAAATATTATATGCTATATATTATACTTATCTCCCTTACATATTATTTACCATATACTGTATATTTATATCTTATATACTGTATCTTATATATTATATGTGTGTAGATGGCCTTTGTGGGTTTTTTGTTTCATTTTCTTTTTAATTAATCACAACATTGGGTCAACCAGACCCATTAACTGCATTTCTCATTTAGACCTTTCAGAGATGCATTCGCAGATGCAATTTAACTTGTTGACCCATGATCGATAGCAATTAATAGCAACCCTTTAATCTTGCAGAAAGGTCTTTCTCTGACTTACAGTAGCCACCATCTCAAGGGAAAGGGATCCACGCAGCCAGGTTTATCTGGCTTCTAAGCAATAGTTCCCCTCAACCACCTACTCTCCTGATGATTTAGTAGGTCTTTCAGAAGTCACCAGTTTCTGCAGCATTTTCAATTATCATGCAAAAATCCATCTCAGCTCTAAAATTCCTCCACTGCAAGTTTATCATGCAAATACTATGGGCCTGGAAAGTATTGTTATTACTTTTTTAGTTCAGAAAATGTAGATTTAACTTTTAAAAGTGTGTTATTCTAATATAATCTATGTTTAAATTTCCCAGGTCTTCCTTATGTTGTTATAGCTAACTAAATCTCTCAAGCCATTTTTTCCTTTTATCTATCATGTAATTACAAGAATTATTCATTTATTAAAAAAACTTACCAGTTTGAATAGTAGGAGTTGTGATTAAACTAAATGATGCATGAATTCTTCCTGTCCTTGGGAGGTTTGCGATCTGATGGGACAAACCAAAGGCAAGCCCAGAGTAACAGAGAACCGAACGCTGTGCTCTAAGTAGGAACAGGTATACTGAGAACACAGCAAAGGCAGCGCATCATCCTGGCTGTGGGAAGGCTTTCTGGGAGCTGGAGGTTGTTGTCTGCATTTTAACAGAGAAACACACCAAGTGAACAATGAAGAAAGTGGTCAGTGCAGTGTTGGAGTTTATAAGGTAGCATTTCTGCTGACACAGCTCAGGTCATGCAACTGCTAATAATGAGATCCATTCACATCAGTAAATATGTGCCCTGGCCCAAAGCCAGGGGTCTGGAGCAATTCTTTTAAAGTATAGATGGGTTACTTCCATAGTGTGATGTCAGCACATTTTTTTTCTATAGTCAATTCACTGACCAGTGGAGTTCCCTTTCCTCTACCCACTTCAGGTTCCAAGTGCAATGCATTTTATCAAAACTTGCATCTCCGTAGCAATTTGGATAATGATTGTGTATCATTCACCTTATCTATTCAACTATTACTGGCACTAGGCTCACTTGTGGAAAAGAAGGCCGGAGGCAATGTTAAAACATCAGTTAGCAAGCAAGAGATGTATTTTGGAGCAAGGATAACCTGAGGATGATCACATGCTCAGCAAAATTGATATGTGTGTGTGTGTGTGTGTGTGTGTGTGTGTGTGTGTGTGTGTGTTGAACCCAGGACACCTTCAAACTGAGTAATATCCCCAGTCATTTGTTTTGTTTTTTTTT